TTGCGGATGACATGTGAAGTGGCTACAGACAAAGCGTGAAATGGATACAATTGAAATCTAACAGCTGCACCCTCCCCAAAACATCATGCCTTTGATCCTGCAATGCTAAAGCATCTGATTGCGTTCTATTGTACACGTGTTACGTGAGTGCATTTTTCTTGAAACGAATGTGATATGACAGTCAAAACTAAATTCCAGCCTAATCAAGCCTCTTCTTTCTCGGTGGTACTTATCGTTCCCCTCCTCTCTCTCTAAACCTATCCAATAGCTACAAGTAGTTTCCGCTTAACTTCCTACACTCATTCCCTCTATTCAGGGTATTGCCTGTTTTGTTGATTTCTATCGCTTCCACAAGCTTTTGCCTACTGGTCGGTATAGTTTCCATGTCCAGCTAAGCGTTTGGCATTATACGAATCTATCAGGTGTTCTCTACCAACCACTCGTTCGGCAAATTCCGATTTTTGGACCCACATACTCTTGCAAGCTTTTTTCTGTTAGGATAACCTTTTATGTATGGGCCTACAGGTCTCTCCCACATGGGCACTACCACATGAACACCAGATCTTGTAACGGCCCGATTTGGAGAACAAGTCAGAGTATTCTCGAAAAGAAGGCAAGACCGAGGACAGTGTTATTTTCTCTTTCCAAATGATTCTGATGTCCCACCTCAAATTTTCGCCTATCTTATTCGACAAATTACATGATGGCAGCATATGGATCCTGGTAGAATGATCTATCCTTTTATCTAGGCCCAGATATGCATTTCCCATCATTCTATTTGACAATATTCTAAAATAGTTGTCAACCCGCCCTCGTGGATAATTATTCTCAACCAGAATTCGCCTTAGTCCCCTCAGTTCCTGTTCGTGATGCCTTTAATCTGCCAGATGCAGCCTCCTTATTAACCCAAACTTCATAATTCTTACTTTAACCCCGTAAGTGTGTTTAAAGAATAAATTTAAAAGAAAAGCTGCATTTTTGGATTACTATATACATCTCTACCTAATCTCATCCCCTCTGCTAACTCGAACAGCAAGAAAAGGTAAATCACATTTCTTTTCTAACAAACGCAATTTTTATCTATTTAATATTGGTTTTTTATATTTTCTTGTAACGTTAGGGCTTACGAATGTCTTTATCTTTTCTTCATCAAATTTGCTAAGTGAGGTGTTTGCTTTCACTCAATCTCGGATAATCTCTTTGATGAAAGCTGGCAAAAATCTTTCCGCTCCGCTCAACTCTCAAGCCTGGTCCATTAATTCCCGCATTTGGATGCGCCTTAAAGCTGCAGAGCTCCAATTTATGAAATACTCCGACCAATTTCCTTTTGTTCCACCACCTGGGTCTTCAAAAATTGCATCGGGGGCTACTCAGCCTCTATGTATGAGTGGATTAGACATTCTAAGCCGTCAGCTTTTGGCATGCGAAATCTATGCGAAACCGGAAAAGGTTAGTCTTGAACTTACACGGGAACATCTTCAGACAGGCGTGGATACGAAGAAGCTTAGTTCTACCACAACCAATTTGAAAGAGGATGGTGATAGGAATAATGATGCTTCTTCAATTATGAGCTTTGGGAAGTCAATGAATATGGAATTTAAGACCAATCATACGCCAAAACTAGATGCAGTGCAAGCCAAGCAAGTCTACTCGCCCGATCGACAATTGCTCCCCCACGACCCTTCCTCTCCTAGGGTCTTCCAACGTGTTGCTCTCACTTCGGACCCACTTACTGGTGGCTCCACATCATCTCCCAACTCTCCGGGATCCAATATTGGATACAACCTACTGCCAAACAAGTGTACTCGGGAGCAGTCTGATTCTAAGTCTGTAACATCCGACGAGCCATTAAACTCCTTAACCAGTGCTCACGGCGTTACCCCTTCTTCCTCTTTTTCGTCTGCAGTTGCTCTTGTTTCTGGTGGCCACCTTCTCCGTCTATGTCGCCATGCTCCAATAAGTGTAGAGGAGGTTCGTCTAGCAGCACACATTGTGGTTAAACTCCAGACACAACTTATCATCCGTCTCGCTGCCTATCTTCTGGAAGGGGATATGCAAGGTCACTGTGATTCCGCCTCACGAGAATCTGAAGGTATATCTTCATGCTTCGTTACTTTTACTTATCTCGGTTTCTAAGAGGCATTCCAGATTCGAGTTGGCAATTAAACATTGTGAAAAGCGAATCGAAACTACTAACTATAACTTGGAGGTAGCCCACTAAGTCTATCAGGGTTGCTATGGCTATCACCTATTAGTGGCTGTTGCATTTTAATCACTTGTTTTAATTTCTTCTTTAGCAAATTTCTGTTTTTTGTTTAGGAAGCAAAAGCGAGGAGATACGTCTATTCCTAGCCACAATCTTATATAATGCTTATCTTGTGCATACTCTTTAATTGTCTATAGTCGACAGTCCGATGCTGGAAATCATTATAAATACCAGACGCAGGCCTAGATATGTTCCACGAGGTCTTTCTGTCACTCCGACCAAATTGCGAAAATATGGTCAAACCAACATTACAGCTTGAGGATACGATAGAAAAAAGGCCACATTATCTTGATCTTCATATATACGACCTAAGCTTTAAAATTCTTTAACATTAAGAGTTAGTAATGAAATAATTTCGTTCCTCTTTAATCGGTGACGAATGTGGCTACCTGGACCTATTATATTTCTCAATTGCCCCAAAATGTAATATAGCCGTATTCTAGAGTGGCATTTGCTCGAAGATTCACCTACTACAATTAATTTGCTCTAATCTTACTTTCTGTGACTCGGAGCTTCGAAGCCAAAGCATCACCTCAACTACATCTCATTTTGGACTAGTATTTTTCATTGATATCTTGAATGATCGTTTAGCTCTAGCCATCTTTTAGTAAGTCTTTAGGCACCTACGCTCCTTATAAAGTTAAATTTTATTCTAAAACAAAGAAAAAATGGAAAGGATACTCGGACATGTCCTTATCAGACTTTTTCCGGCGTTTAGCGTTTTCTTTTAAACATGCTTATTAACTAAACTCATTACAACCTTAGCATAAAGTTATATTGTACCTTGATCTGTTTTTTAGGACTGCGCCTTTTGAGTTTGCTTCACTGGCATTGCCTGCATCTTTCCCAACTCTCTTCACTCAGCCTTGGCCTTATTTGGCCGATCGCTAACTCTGATCCTGGTTCTGAGCCTAGTCCTCATCACAAGACTGCGGCAATTAATCTCTGGCAGGATCAAGTTTTTGGGCAACTTGAGTTTATCAACAACTGTCCTGGTTTCACTCGGCTCCTTCCTGGATTGGCGATGGATCTTCTCTGGCTGGTTGACCAGTGCATGCTGGCAAACAAGCATACCAATTGCAATCATCGCCTTGCCGAAGATTGTATCCCTACTGTTCCCAAAGCTTATCATGGAAATAATGATGAAAGTAGTGGAGCTACTTTGCGAGAGGCTTTTCTTGATCTCGACTTACTTGGAAAGCTTTGTTTGACTCGCCACTTTACTGGCCTAGATGTATTTTCCCAAGACAAGTTGTACATTGGACGTTCTAAAGGATCCCTTCATGAAACTAATGCCTCTGCGAATTCGTCCATCAATTCATTTGGCGTACCAGAGGCAACAATGCCAATTATAAATAATAGATCTGAGCAAGTGCTTCTTGGATCAGAGTCTCAGGTCCTGTCTAGCCTTATGTCACCGCATAACTCTGTCACAAAAAACGATGATGAGATCATAGTGGATTTGAAAGAAGAGGAAGCAAAGGAAGATAGAGAAAAGGAGATGAAGCAGAAAGCAGAAGATTGTAGAGAAAAGGAGGCAGAGCACACTAGAAATGAGAAAGAGGATGATGAGCTTTTAAACAAAAGAAATGAAGCCGTGGTGAAGGAACAGACATACTTAGAGTCGAAGAAGGAAAATGAGGCAACTCGCCAAATGTCAAAAGCTGAGGATC